CTGATAAGATAAGATAAGACTTCCTTAATCTATCCTACTGAACTGATAAGATAAGATAAGACTCCCTACTAATCCATACTACTGAACTGATAAGATAAGAAYACTGAATAGATAAGACTCCTACTAATCCCTGCTACTGAAAGCAGATAAGATAGGATGAGAATACTAAATTGCTGCTGCTGAGAACACTAAATTACTGCTGCTGCTGCCGGCGCCCACATCAGAGTTTATGACGCATTAACAAGGGACTATTGCAACAAATTTTTAATCTTGTCAGTGAACTATAAAGAACTTGAAATGGGGTGTCTAGTTGTAATGGTCATTCTAGTGCCCGTTTTATTCAAGTGGTATTTAGGCCTACTGAGAGGAATGCGACTCTCTCTCTCTCTTTCTCTCTCTTGTATGGATTAGTTTGTATTGAGAATCAATGTGAACATAGAGACTATTAAAGGTTTAGAGTCTCTTTAGTGGAGTTAGCAGAAGAAGATTTTTGTATGAAATATTTCTGATCATTTTTGGATTCTAATATCCCTTCCATCGAGTCCCTTGTCTGTATTTAGATCAGGCAGAATTAGAATTGTTGGTGGAATTGAAGGGGCAATTCTATGAGTCTCTGGATTCAACTTTTTGCGTCATTTCCATTGTGGAATGCAAGTCATCAAAATTTAGATTTGTAGCTTCAGATTCCGCTTCTTGCAGAATTAGGCATTGCAATCTTTTTGAACATGCTCTTATTTTAAGCAAGTATTGGATGTGCTTAATGGAGCTCTAGGTGGTCATCTGCGGCTTTTGGTCACTTTTCAATTTAGACTTTAGGATCATCTCATGGATGGTTCTCAAGATTCCATTGATATCTTTGGTATGTTTATAAAATGTGAGAACTTTTTAAAACTAGAATTAGAGTCTTGGTGTCAGATTGAAGTGAAAAATTGTGGCCCGAAAAGGATATTAGGTTGAGATTGGTAAGTCATTATTCATTGCTACCCTTCTGTTGCAACCTGCCCTGCCTTGAAGTCCAACTTCCATCTTTTTTTTTTTTTACACTTCAATCTCGAAGTTCCTAAACCACTTCAAGTCTTGCAATTTGAGATTCCCAGTGTTATGAAGCATGAAAGAATATCATGGAGCCATTGAATGGTAGGATGTGTAATCCCCTCTCTGTTTTTTACTTTTTCTGTTGGGTGGGGTCTGTGGCTAACTTCATCTCTATTCATCAATCAATTGGTAGAAATCTGCTCTGATGGTATTTGAAATTTAGCTGGTTTCCTTTCCCTTAATTGTTTACTTTTGTAACCAGTGACACATGGACAGGGACACAGGAATGAAAATCTCATGCATATCTAGGTGTCTGACTCCCCAAGATGAATAGACAAGGACTTGCAGACACATCTATAGAAAAGTATAAACTGTTAAAGTAGTTCACCTTTTTTTTTTTAAATAAAAGTAGTTTATCTTCCTTACCTGATCAAAAAATAAAAGTTTATCTTCATTACTTAACATTATATTACCCATAGAATTAGAGCAGGATGGGCAAAATGGAGGAGTGCATCTGAACTTTTATGTGATAGGCGGATGGCACTTAGATTAAAAGGAAAATTCTATAAAACAGTTGTAAGGCCAGCTTATGTTGCATGGAGAAGAGTGTTGGCAGAAATGTAAATGCTAAGATGGATGAGTGGAAAAACTAGGAAGGATAGGATTACAAGTGAAATCATCTGTAAGAACCTAAGATGGTTTGGTCACATGCTTAGAAGACCACCAACAGAAACAGTTAGAATAAGTGATTTGTTACAAGTTGTAGGGGCTAGAAGAGCTAGGGGTAGATCAAAAAGGACATGGGTAGAAGTAGTACAAATGGATTTAAGCACTAATAATTTAACAGTGGGTATGTTTTTAAATAGAACAGATTGGAAAAACAGGATTCATGTAGCCAACCTCATATGGTTGGGATAAGGCATGAATGATGATGATGACTTAATAATATTTTTATGGAATGTTAGTTGTAATTTATGCCAATTATGCAATGAGAGAAGGGAACATGTTATATAAGAAATGTCTCTTAAGATCCATGGAGTGTCTGGACAGACATGTCCGACACAGGTATTTCATTTGGGAGAGTCCTTGCAACACTAAAAACTAAGCTCAAGCCAGACTAATTTTTCCATAGTTTCAATTTGAATAAAATGGTAAATTTGTATATCATAGGAGTTTATCTCTGAGATTGGAATTTACACTACAAAGTATTTTTGATGAATTCTTCTGGTTCACTGGAGGTTTGTAAATATTCTTCTCTTTCTATCCAGATAAGCATTTCCTTAAATTATTCCAGAACTGACTTGTACGATATTGAGAGCAAGTGAAATTGCAGAGGTTGAGAGACGCATTGTTTCAAAGCTTATTGGTTTTGGTTTTTGTTTGAAGAGATAAATGTTCAAGAATTGCTTGTGACAGACTTGGATAAGCATTCTTTTCATTCCTTTATGAGAATTAAGCTGTGTTTTGTATTACATTTTCCAAATAAAAAGAAAAAAAAAGACCAAAATCTACTTTGACCAATTCATACAAGCTCTCTTTATTGGTGAAGTATTAAAATGCATATGCAGCCATCCCCCTGAAAGTCTGGGAAAGTAGTTCAGTCTGTTACTACTGCAGAATGGGAAACCAGTGCATATCTGATACTATTTTGTACCCTCAAACAGAACCCACGGCGGGCATTGGAAAAGGGTGATCGATAATTTTTTTTCCCTTATTACAAGAAAGAATTAGAGAAGGTCGACTTGAGAGTTCATTTGAGAGTTGAGACTGTTGCTTACCACTATTGCGTACTGTTATTGCCTGTTTCTGTTACTGCCTACTTCTGTTAACAGTTATATTATTACACCTCACCTTCATGCACACTTAAATTTAGATTTAGAATCCCACACTTGATCGATTATCCTATGCTCAGTGTGAAGGTTTAAACTCACTGATCTGGGGTTTTCACAGCCTGGTTTACAAAGTTATTACGGAGTGGCGTTAACAACCATTCACAAGCTGTTGCCATTAATGGCGATCCCTTTATTAACAACAAACTGTCACAACTGAGAGACAAAGTTCCCCTCTTACAAGAAAGAAATTGAAATTAAGGTCTTTGGGTATACTGTTGTCCAAAAGTTGTCTCCTGTTTGGGCTAGAATCAATAAATGGGGTTGGATTGTTGTAAGATGTTTTTTAATTTAGAGCAAAACAAAACTTTATTGCTGGAGGGAATTAGCAGAAGATACAAAGAAGTCCTTTTAATCAAATGGGGGCCATATGATTGTTGGTTCTGGGTATATGTGTGATGCTTACAGAGTGGAAACATGTGAAAAGATGCAAAATATTGTCTATGAAGCCTGGTTGAGACCATTATCATTCTGCTTTCCTGTCTTGAAGTTTCAAAACCTCCTCTTTTGCATCAGAAAATATGATTAATCTTTTAATACCGCACTCAACAACTGCTTGTAAACCTGTGTTCATTGCCCATGGTTCCATAGCTAACTGTTGGTAATATTTCAGACCTTGCTCGCAGCTGAAAGGCAGAGATTTTGAGCATTAAATAAATATAACTCACTCCTGCTCTTTGAGTTTCTGGATCATAAAGTCCATCAACATATAAACGTGCCAGGTTGTCTTGAATGAATGTGGCATCTGCATTAAATTCCAGTTGTTATAACCTACTCCTTGGAGCTAAAAATAAGGATATCATTTGGTTTTTGGACAATGGTACCATTTATCTGGGTCTAGTGCCACTTTGGTCCCTGAACTTTAAAACATGACAGTTTATTATCCAAATTTTCAAAATGTGTCAATTTAGTACTTACCGTTAATCAGTTGTTAAGTGGCACTCGAAAAAACACAAATGTCCTTCGATTATCATCTAATTTTCTTTATCAATCATCCAAACGTTGACAAAAAATGAATAGTCCTAAATCTGTCTCTTCTATTCAAAAAAGTTGGGGTCATATCAAGGTTTAAAGTATCGGAAACGTAAGGTGTATTGGAAAGATAATTTTAAGAGATGTATCGGGATACACTTTGTATACATATGGATACGGACGAAAAATCAAGATATGCATAAATATGCTAAAAACTCAAATCCTAAAAAATATATTAATAACGATAGTTACAAGTTTTATGTGATTGTAAATAAGTTATTTAAAAGTAAAAAACTTTAATTTAATGGTCTATATAAAATTTGAGATACCGGGACAGTTAATAATTATTGATAAATGATGGAATAACTAAAACGTGAAAAAACAAAAAAAAAAAACTAAAATGTATATTGATATACATTAGTTTTAAAATAATCAATACGGTTTATCTTAATATTTATTAATACATAAATTTTAATAATTAATTCTAACATTTATTAATAAGCATACACTAAGAACAAGAGAAAATTTACTTAACAATAAAAATTCATAAACCTATTGCAAGCAAATGGGCGTGGCTTAGTGGTGAACCTCTAATTGTTAAAGCCTAATGGCTAGTGCTTGAATCTTGTTATTGCTAAGTTTTTAGTTTTATACTAACAAAACGAATTTAATGAGAAAGAGGGTTATTAATTAATGAAACAAATGAGAAGAGAATTCCTATTAGGTGCTAAAATTGAAATTCAAAATTAAAATTATGCATTAATTATAAGAGTAATTAACTAATTAATGAGAGTGAAATTGCACTTAAATATAGGAGTAAATATAAAATTAATAAGAGGTAATTCGGCCCTAAATATAATTTAATGAAATTAATGAGAGAGAAGGGGGCTTGTATCAGGCTGTATTTTCGAAACCATATTGGCCGATACAAACTCAAAACAGTTCGATACAGGGCCCAAAATAGTCTAATACAGACCTATACATACGAAAAAGAACGCTACAGATAATTTCTATGTGTTCCATGTATCATACTTGTACCAAAACGATACGTATCGGTTAATACAATCCGATACGTTGTGAAATTTTGAAGTTTGGGCCACGGCTCAGTGGGCATTCTAGTGACCCCAACATTTTTGAATAGAAGAGGCAAGATTTGAGGCTGTTCATTTTTTATCAATGTTTGGATGGTTGATAAAAAAAATTAGATGGCACTCAAAGGGCATTTGTGTTTTTTTCAAATGCCACTTAACGGTTGATTAACTGTAGGTACTGAATTGACACATATTGAAAGTTCGGATACTGGATTATCATATTTTAAAATTCAGAAACCAAAATGGCACTAACGCCAAATTACAGAGTATTAACTAAAATTTATGATTTCTTACATCACAAAGAGACGCATTATGCCAAAGAGATTTTGCTTCTAACGTTTGATGCTTAGATTAATGCCAAATGAGACACATTTGAAGAAGAGATGGTTAAGTGTCTCTCTTCACGAGGAACACAAAAGACAGAGGTCCTCCACTTTTGCTTTTCTTTGGTCCATAAACCTACTTCTAACAATTACCTTGTGAGAAAAGCTTGTATTTATGAGTGAGGGATATTTGTCTTGTAGATGCGCATCCATTTGAAAAATCCACCAGATGATTGAGGTTTTTGCTGAGGAAAGTTCTTTTCCACAATAATTTATCTCCTTTGTTCTGCTTGGGATTGCTTGTTTAAGTATTATGGTGCCAATGCAAGTTTTAAAACAATGGCGTTGGAAAATGATTTTGGTGGCAAGAAATTTGTCTTCATGTTGATTTTCGAAATGACAGCTCCAGTAGGGAGGATTATAGGCTGGGACTGTGCTGAGCACCTATTGTAGGTGTTTGGCATTGATGCCATTGCTTCAGAAATGTTTTTTGAGAAAACAGTACTGTATGCATGAGGGTCGTTTTCTCAGAAAATGGCTCCTTTTTTTGTTTAACATCGATGCTGTTATATAGGTTGCTTTTTGAGAAAACAATACTTGATTTTGTTTGGTATCAGTGCTGTATAACTGTTTTCAGCATTGGTTTACATTATCCAACACCCTATGACACATTAATGCCACACCATTGCACTGCGGCAGCAATGGGCTGTTTTCTAAGAAAACATTAAATTTAATGTTTTTTCAGACCATATTTTTCTGATTTCCAAGATATAGTCTGGAGCAATGTTTTTTTTTTTTTTTTAAAAAAAGGATACTAAATAAAAGGCCATTTTCTGAAGCATCACTTTTTCTAACATGACACCGATGTGGTATCATTTTCTCATAAAACAATTATCGATGCCAAACAGTGCCATTATTAGGGGCCTGGCTTGGCCCTCCCACCAACTTGGGCCGGGCTGAGGTTGGTGTGGAAAATCATAGATTAATCCACAGTTGATTAATTAATTAATGACTCAAGTAAGAGCAGTTTTCTCATCAAACCCATAATAATTCCATGTATCAATATCATATTATATACAACTTTGTTTTAGAAAATCATATTATATACATCGTAATGATTGAATCTTTAGTTTAATTTGTACAAAATCCAGCATCATCTTTCCATTTGATTTTGAAAAAAAAAGGAAGCCAAGAACAGAAAAACAGGTAAAAAACTAAGGCTATGTTTGGTTTCATAGAAAATAAGAGGAAAATTTGTTAAGGAATTTCAGATTATTTTCTATCAAACCATACACAGCCACAAAACTAACGGATATTCATTTCGAACTTCGTCAAGTATAGTCACAGTTTTAGAGGGACAGGGAAATAAATAATCCTTAACCCTCGTTGGAGTCCGGGGATCCTTCCTCATTGGCGCGATTCGGGGGATCCGAAGCGAGTCGGGACGCAATCGCCGAATGGTACATGATGTCGTGGAAGTTTGCATTCTTCATCGTCTTCATCCGAAGCTGCCTCGCCTTCTCTTCCGTGAAGCAACCCGGTGGGAATCGAGATCTGGCTTTCGCCGCTTTGTAATGAGTTTCAGATTCGTTCGTTTTCTTGGTAGAGGCGTCGGAGCTGTCGTTGTTGCTACTGTTATCTTCAGCATGGTCGGGATGAGAGGAGCAGACGAAGAATGGGGTCAACGAATTGGAAGAGGATGCTTTCCGACTACATGAATCGGGTTTACGGCGACCGGAGGAAGCGCATGCTTGGATTCCGGCAGGTTGAAAAGACAGGAAAGTGGTAGCCATCAGAGAGAGAGAGAGAATGAGTTACGGCAAAGGAAGGGGGGAAGAGTTTATTACAAATTTAAAGACGAGGGAAGGGAGAAACGGATAAGACCGTTGAAACAGCGGTTTGAACAATGAACAGAGCGCATCCGACGTGGTTTTACAATTTTGGAACCGTTCCTTCACCGTCTATTGCGGATTCCTGTCGTCAGGTTGGCCTGTAACCGATGTAAACGGGTATCCGATTGCTTGGGTGTACAATCTACGCGGCTCCGGTTATATATGATTTGATCATAAATTTTGGACCCGAAGATAGTTGGATAATTCAGATCTACGTATTTCAAGACCTATTAAGAATCGGATTCAAGGTCAAATCCACCGTTTTTTTCATTTTTATAAAGTTTAGAGTTTTGTGTTATTCATGGTAATTTGTCCGTGTTCGCACGTATCCGAATAGTTCTGATCATTTGATGGGGTCCGGTTTGGAAAATTTATATTTGATCCATACCCGATTATGCCGGATTTTGTCTTTTAAGGAAATAATAGAGTGTGAAGTGCATTACCATGATTAAATATTTTTTTTTAGGATCATTGATTAAATTAAACTCATGAAGAATCCAAACTGAAATAAACCGGGGTGGAGCTGTGGAAGCCTGGAAACCTTGAAGGAGATATTATATTAGTTGGGTCCTGATGAGGGCAGATTTGGCCCTCCAGTGAAGTTGCGACACGTGGTACCTCGTGACAACTAGGCAAGCCCCCAGGCAACAACTTACCAAGTTGGTCCCCCCCGGGCATCGGTCTGGCTGGCCTGGCGCGACCTGGCGCGGCCTGCGCGCGA